CAGACCCCCTCACCCCGCCCCGTGCTCTCTCCAGCCCCATCCTTCCCGCTTAGCCTCCGCCCCACCGCACTTCGCTCCTCCCCGCTCCTCCCAGCCCCGGCCCGGCCTGCCTTCGCCCCCTGCGGCCAGGAAGCAGCGCTGCAATGCGCCCGCGACCTTTCGCACATGGCGCCCAACTGCCTGCGGCGACCCCGGGCCCCGGCGCGGCGGCCGGGATTAACGGCTCCGGCCGGAGCGGCGCGGCGCGGCGCGGTGGCGGGGAGTGCAGTCACAGTCCAACGGAACCACGGACGCGACACCGATGCCGAGGTTTTCAAAAAAATTAGCGATGCATTTAATATTAGTTTTTATAAAATTAGCGATGTATTTAACATTGATTGTTTGAAGGTAATGTTTTTTTAACATTGATGTGTATTTGGTGTTTTTACTTGATTGATATTTTTAAATGAAAAAAAAGTACCAGCGTAACAAAATTCTGTAATTTTATATGAAATATATTAATTTAATATTTAAGACAACTTATAAATTCATTATGCCACTCATCTTTTATGAAACCACCACTCTGTCATTAATTATACAAATCATGATTTATACAAATTAGACAATTAATAGCAGACTGATGGTTTAATAACAAATCAGGGACATAACGAATTTATAAACAGAGTGAAATATTCAAGCAATATGTTACTTATGAAAAAATAAACACAGACAACTACCCAATGATAATATTAGAAACCTCTATAATAACTACTCTGAAATTGAATATTCGTCAGACCAAAGTGTCCAAGGTTGGAAAATAAAATCGAGTTTTCGTCAATAAAGAAGTCTCTTTAATATTTTAATTATCGACGCAGATAAAGTTTTGTTAATTATCATGATGATTTTTGGACTTTGTTTTAAAAACATACAGTTTAAAAACATCGATGGTTTTGGGTTTATATTTTAATTTTTATCATCGATGTTTTGTTGTCGATGACGCATCCCTCAACGAAACTGCCGACCCACCTATGCGAAAAGCGAAGGAAGTAACGCTCTTAAAACGGCGGTTCGGACGTTCCAGGGAAAATAACCAATATTTTGGGTGAAGTCGAGGTAATCGGAGACCAGTTATGAACGAGAGGGAATACCTCTCTTTTTATTCTATAAGTGGATTTGAGATTACAGACTACAAGTTGCAATGATAACTCCCTCGTGAATCATCCCTTGAGCAGCTCATTTCGTGTATTCACTTGTGTCACATTGTGTTTTAAACAATTGTTTACATCTAAAGAATTCGTATTTTGGTTGGCCGATCATCCCCTTGCCCATTTATGTGGAAAGTAATTTAGGAAAGGCAGAAAAAGAAGTGGGCTCGTTGCTAACTCTTGGCCAGCATTCTTGCTTTCCACTTCGCGGCCCCGAGTTGGATTCCCGGTCGAACCAAGACTATAGAAAGTGCGTTTGTCTTGCATGCCCCAGTATACGTTGTTGTGTGACGATGAGAAAATTCACTAGTCAAGTTGAGAAAACCGGAATACGGCTTGGGGATGCTTACGTGCTAATCACTCGTGGCCGCGAGGCAGGGACGTCGCCGGTAGGAATGAGCTCGTTCACGGGCTGTCGCCCCATGTACATTCATACATAAAGAAAAAGTAGTAGTACTGTAGTGTTTCTCTATAGTTAAAATGCATGGGTCTTAATTTGGTTCAGGAGAGGAGGGGCCATAGCGTAGAACAATTAGGGGTCAGCTATTATATGGGCCCCTGTCCATTAATCTTTTTTTTATTACCAGTTTTATATTGTGACATATGATACATTAATTAACACTTTTTATGTAGAATAATTTGTAGAGTGGCCAGATCGTTTGGAGAGCCTCTTCAAACGATCTGTGTTCAGTATCAATTTTTCAAATAATCAGCTTAAAAAGAGAAAAATACCGATCTGAATAGCCGACGTGGCTAAGAGCGTGTACAGACACTGCGCGTCGATCCGAAGGGTTGCTAGTTCGAGTCCCGCCTTGCGCATTGTTGTTTGTCCCTTGCTTCTAATGTTTTTATTGTAGCATAGGGCCTCGCGTTCTGCTGTTGAGTGTTTGTGTCAAGTGTACGGTTGAATATGAGTCCCATCTAGACGTAAAGGGTAACCGGCTGTCGGCTGGATAAAAGCCCTAGAAAAGCGGCGGAAATCAGAAATTTTTTCATCGCCTTTTCCCCCCGTTTCTACGTGGTCGGCGCTAATGGGGGCGGTCTCATTTTCCGCACGCTCCATTTTTATTTTGATGTGGCGATATTTTTTCGGCTGGGTACTCTTGAATCAAAATCAGGAATCAATCGTATTTACCGAAATAAAATGTTGTATTACATAGGGCTAAAAGAACCTGTTTGAAAATGTTCAGGGAGCCACGACCTTTGCTCACGCGCTTGGGTTGGCCGATCATTTGACGAAAATCGCGGTTTGGCGCTGTCGTCGGCACTTTGCATCGCGTCGCGCGGTTTCGCATCCGGGTGGCGGCGGCGACAGTGGCGCTGTGTTTACAGGCGGGCGGCTTCCCCGCGTCTGACTCAGCCGGCGACCTCCTCCTCCTCCTCCTTCTCCTTTCCTTTCTCTCGGCGCGCGCGCCGCCA